ACGACTGAGAAGTGGTGCTGGTGGTGGTGGTCGAGGGCGCGGGTGCAGGCAGTAGCTGGTCCTCCGGAAGGCGCAACTCAACCTCGCAGAACTCGGGCATATCGCAGAGGTTATTGAGTGAACCTGTGGGGACGGATGAAAAGAGATTGTTATTTTTCCGCTGGAACCAGTTTGAAATTATCTTCGTCCATCTCTTGTGAAAATCCTGTTATGTTCTCCTCTTTCTCCTAAGAGTGTTGCCTGTCCTCCCCTCCACCATTGACCCTTTCCACTCGAATGCCCACGCGTTTGTCAAAAAACAGCGCCCTCAGAAAAGTGGCACTTGAATAAGTCACCGCCCCCCCCCCTCTCGGGCCTCCACGGGAAAGCGAACTATTGCCTCTGTACACGAGACCTCCCCGTCCCCTTTCCGGGTAATGTTTCAGACTAATCGGATGCCACATGAACTGCCTCCTGAAGTCACATAAAAGCAGCGCTCACTCCTTTTTTCCCACTGACAGACACACGGTCTCCCAAGACTGACTTCGCCCTACGTGGCGTTCTTGAACTTGCGTCGTTCCCTTGTCTAGAGTCAGAAGATTTGGCCGACTCTCGTGTTGTCGACTGCGTGTATCCATTGTTGAGGCGTTGATATGTCTCCAGGAGTAATAGGTAGAATGAGACGAAGCCAGTTCTGATCGCAAGAGTTTTTATTCACGATAATACAGATACAGCAGAAGAATGAATCAGCGTGTCCACTACAGCCTATTATAAGGCGCCGGCCCTTCCAGACTGTTCCTGGCCTATCGCACGAGAGGGGGAGTTCTGGCGTGGTTTCGCACGCTGCGGACGTTCTAGAGCATTGCAATGCACGTGGGGGCGGGCGTCACGTGTGCTCAGGGCGCGCGCGACCGGCCTGTGGCCATGCCTCAACTGGCGTTCACTTTTCCTCTCCATAACAGGTGTGTACTTTGTTTATCCTTTGCTATTTGTTTAAAAGTACCGTACTACTATGTCAACCATGTTGTTGCTTATTTTCGTTAG